TGATATTTGTATTGGCCATGACTTGTTTACTAGTATATATTAATTGTGGACCATTTGAAGTTGCTTTAGAACCTTGTTAATTAAATTAGCATGATTTAATTAAAGTTCTACTTTATTGTTCCAACAACCTAATTGAGTTTTAGAATGGATATAGGTGATGACCATGCCATGTCCTTTAATATATATTAAATTGAGGTTATTTGGAATTGAATCGGAATCTAGAGAATTTAATTGTGTTTATCTATTTAAATTCTATTAATTTGCTTCATGATCTAGTTGTGTTTTAGAAGTGGTTTCTATATTCAAATCATAGACTTGGACTTGTTGTATATTCATTTGGTCATGTTTTGAACATTGGATAACATAGTTGCTATGTTTGTATTTATGAGAATATGTTTTCCTTATTGAATATATTGTTGCCTTGTGTAATGATTTGCACACTTCGTGTTTAATATCTTTCATGCATAGCGTGTAACGAATCGCACACTGAAGATTCGATATTCATCATATCATATTAATTGTGGCCTTAGAGCATGTATTGTATAGGTTTCCAAATTTGGTTGTGCATGATAGATAGTTGATTATCTTGTATATACATGCTGATATATACGTTGTTGCACAACTTGTTGATTTTGGAAACTTGGGGATGTCATTGTTTGGCTACGGCTAGGACATGGTTCTAGTACGGGGGATAGTCCCTCTATATAGTCTAGTGCGCACATAGGGAGGTTATCCATGGGCTAGTAACCCTAAAGTAACCACATTGTCGGTTTGATCCGGCGTGACGTCCGAGTATCCACTTTGTTTTATTTCGCATTTCATTTTCAAGTTGATAACTAGATGATGTTGTAACTTGTTGTTTCTTTTTTGTCGTTCCATTTTAAGTTACAGGATGTTAACTTTGCGAAATTGTGCCTTATGTGTTGTATTGGAAGTTCCAATGTTGGTTAAATTGCATCGATATTGAAAATCGTGTTTTGACATTTTAAGAAAGCTTAGGATTGATCCTATTGATTCATTTATAACATAGACGTTAGGTGGCATGAACCACTACTGTTATTTTGTTCTTTAGATTCTACGTTGATGACTTTGAGAACTTAAACCTTGTTGCATTGTATAACATGCTCTTTTGTTGTTGAATTGCATGGATAATGTGATTCTTGTTAACTTGTATTCAAATATGCTTTTGTCATGTTGTACGGATTCCTCTAGACTTTGTTCAATTACATTGATAATGTGATCCGTGGTAACTATAAACTCATTGTATTAATCGGATTACTCCAACTTTGATTTGTTTCATTCATGTATTTATATCATGATTCTTGTTGCTTTGTATAACATGTTTCTATGTTGTTGAAATGCAAGGATGATGTGATTTATGCTAGAAACACTCTAAGGTAGCTTAGGATGCTCCTTGAGTCTCATTTCGATATAGGCGTTAGGTGGCATGAACCCCTTTAACATGTTTTACCTTAAGGTGATAAATTTGTAAAACGCTAGGTCGATGCATGCTCATCTCCTACGAGTAGCTTTATGTTACTCACTCCTACAATACTGGGGCATATTTCAAGTACGAAAACTTGGTTCATGACGCCTAGCATTCCTTGGATGTCGTGTAGCTTTCAAGTTTCCATTTCATGCGAATGTTAGTATGAAATGTCATTTTGTAGACTTATATGTCAAAATATGTGTATTTGATTCCATGTATGTAATGTGTACTTAAGTACACTCCTTTCAATGTATTTGATATGTATGAGATGAGGCCGGAGGCCAATGACATGTATATTGTATTCTATACAACTTTTTAACTTCATGAAATGTTATGAAAACCTTGAAAAATCGCAAGTCATTGCTTCACCATGGTTGCATCGGGTGTGGGAATTCCATTTTTATTCTTTTATAGGGTCTTATAAATCTTGTTTGAAGTGTGGCCAAGGGCTAAACGGTCATTTGATCCTGTTTTGTATTTTTGGATTCTGAGTTTTCATTCCAAGTTCCATTTTTGCCTTTTTGCCCGTTGGGGGGTTGGATTTTGTATCGGTGGTATTTTTAAGACATGGACCATTGTAGCACGTCCAAATAGGTAAGTTACGTTTGCGTGCATGGTCGTTTCCGGGCAAAACCTTATCGTTTGTGTTTTGAGCCTCTTGTGAATTCATTTCGCACTTTTTTTGCATATTCTGATCTAGGGGCATATAGACTTTTCACGGTTGTTTTATTTTCTTCTTTCAACATGGTTGAATAGAAAACATGATTTTTTTGGGGGGGGGGGGTTCTTTTCCGTGTTTTTCAAGAAAATGTCGTCTTGATATCAGAAATTGCTTGCGAAGTTCAGCTCTCAGTTTTTCAACGTAGCAGCTTTTTGGACCTCCATGACCAGATTTCATGGAGGGGCATTTCGGGCATTCTACATTGCATTTTTTTTTTAATTCTCTCACTAATCACGTAGATAACTCAATTCTGAGGGGGGTTTCTTCTTTGTGTTTTTGCAAAACAATTCATCTAGGCCTCCAAATTCAGCCTCTGTTTTGGATTTTTCTGGAAAATAAGAACACAGCAGCTTTATGGGCTGCTGCTGCCAGCCATGCATGGGCGCGCGCATGGGCGTGCGCATGGGGCTGTCATGGCCCCTCGTCGGGCCACTGCAACGTCAATTCTTCTTTTGGACTTTTCTCCTTCGTTCGGATTCCGATTTAAGCGAATTCTTTTTTGAACTTGACTAATTTTTTGCTGTCTTTCCAACGGTGTGCTCGGTTGCACCCGGTTCTTCCTGGATAATTACCACTTTACCCTTTTTGCCTTAAGTGCTCGTTTTTCTTTGTCATGCCGTTTCTCCTTCGTCCGGACTCCGAATCATGCGATTCTTGAGTCCATCTTGATTAGTTTTTCATTGTCCTTCTAGCAGTGTGCTCGGTGGCACCCGAATCTACAGTTTTCAGAAATGACTATTTTTGCCCATGGGAGCTTATTTGTCATATTTTCGATCTTTTGCTTCCGCATCAGTTCTTGTTGAGTTCCACGACCTCATGGAAGGTCACTTTGACTTCTTAGAGTCTTGTTTTCTAATTTCGCTTCCGCATTCGGATCCGTTATCGGATCATCCTTACGGTTCATCACAGGAAACGCTGGCCTAAAAACCAGAGTCGTCACATACATCATGAATATCAAGTCAAAAATCGAATGGAGTGAATAGTACACTCGGGGCAAATTAATTAATCAATTAATTAAATATTCTCTAGATTCTTAAACAACTCCGATTACTCCCAATTTAATATATATTGATGAGCATGCTAGGGCCTAATATAATATGCTAACACTTATTGATTTCAAGCTAGTTAAGGCCATGTGAATTAATCTTTCACTTAAGATAAATATTAAATAAAAGCTTTAATACTTGTTCAAATGTTCCCATTTTTATACACGACAATGAGCATATCATGGAGTAATATAATATCATACTATATGTTTAACCCAAGTCATGAGCAACCGGGAAAAACAAATCCCGTACAAGAAAAATAAATTATAGAATCTCTAGATTTTATATTTAAGCATGTAATCATGTTGTATAAGAATCAATATCATGCTATATAACAAGAATTAAACCTAGAACATCCCCTACCTCGATTTGAGATGAAAACCTCAAAGGCCCACCAAAAAAAATGTGCTCCGAATTTGACGATACTGAGAGGTTTTGTCGGGGACAACACCGTGAACAAGAATCTGCAAGAAGCCCCATGAAAATCTCAACTTGACTCCAAACCCGAACTCGAAAAATCATCGAAAATAGATTCTAATAAGGGCATAAGATGCGCGGCATCAAGACAAGCATTAAACGTTAAGGCCGAAGAGATTTCACTTAGGAAATCAAGTGGAGGAGAAGGTCAAAGGGTGGCAGCCAAGAAGCTTCCATGGCTGCCGGCCAAGAGGTGGAGAAGAAGAGTGAAAATCTAATTTTTCACTTTAGGGCATCCTATATATAATAAGTCTCAAAAACTGCCCCGAAAGGGCCCCGCCGGGTCTGGAAAAGTGGATTTTGAGCAGACGCACTCAAATGGCAAAACTTTATAAATAAAAAAGATTCAAAATGAGAAAATATGAACAACGGAAGAAACGGTGTCGAAAACTGAGTTCCGAGCAAAAAGTTATGCCCCGAACAAGTTTGGCGGCAACCGGAGCCAAAAATCCCTAAAACTGGGGAAAACGACCAGAAGGAAATTGTAAGAGTCCATGACTCGACGAAATGTGAAAATGAATCCGGTACGAGGATCTAGGCTCCAGACGAGTCATTTTGTAATAACTTTCGTTAATTGCACAATGACCCCTACAAAAAGGGTTAACTGCTAAATTGCCCTATAATGAAAATATCTTCCAAAAGATATTTATGAAAAACACCCCAAGAAATGAAAAAGATTTTAAAGAATTGTGCACCCATGCCTCTGTGGGCACCGGGAGCAACTAGAGTACTTTCTTGCAAAAGTAAAGATACGTATTTCGAGGAAACCACTCAAGATGAAGACACGTGAAGTCAAAAACCAACTTTGAGCATGAGAAGTGAGGTCGTGCCAAAAACTGACAAATGGAGATAAGACAGAATAACGAAAAGGACGAAATAGAGCATAGTGTCGAAAAACGAAAAATGTGAAAATGACTCGGTCCTCAAAAGAAGTTGTCAATCCACGGAAAAGAGTCTCAGGAACCAATTCCGAGCACTCGAGATGACACTAAGTGACACAAAACAGAGCTCAGAAAAGAAAATTAAGCGAAAAAAATTCATTCGTAAAATTTTAGGAAAAAGGAAAGGAAGGCAAATGACCGGGTCGTTACAATTGTCAACTTGATACAAGCTGACATTCTTCCTTCCAACTAGATTTCTACCATTTTTGGAAGACAAGGATCGATGCATTGAATTCTCACTCATGCTCTCATAAAGACGCCATACATCGTCCTCATGATTATCCGACAAACTTTCAAAGAAAAATTGTACCAATTGTCATTTAGGAATATCGTGATGTGGACACTTCCTAAGCAAGTCATTGAGGCGCTCCCATGCCTCATAAAATAATTCCCCATCCTTTTGAGAAAACTCTCGAATTGAGGTTCTCATTGCATTGGTCTTTGAAACTGGGTAGTACTTTTTCAAGAACTCTTGTTGCATTTCTGCCCAAGAAGTTATTGAAAAAGGCCTAAGATTGTTGAACCAATATTTTACTTTATCTTCCAGGGTAAAAGGAAAGAGTTTTAATTGCAAAACCTCTTCCAGCATGTCCATCTATTTCACAGTGGAACACACTTCAAGAAAATCATCCAAATACTTGTAAGGTTCTTCACTTGGAAGTCCATGGTAATTGGGAAGTATTTGAATAGTTTGCGGTTTAATCTCATAATGATGTGCTCTAAATGGGGGTAACTGAATGCATATAGGTGCATTATATTCATTTGGCACATAATGATCTCGCAAAGCAAGAGGAGGATTCACAACCGGTAGCACTACACGAGCACCTTGATTGCCTTGAATAATGGGAGGTCGAGTTGGAGCAAAAATTGGCCGAGGCATTCCCAATGGAATATGGCCTTGTTATTGTGGAATGAAGGGCCTTGACATGCCTAATGGTACTTGAATGTGGTCATGATGGTAATGTGACTAAGGTCCTCCACGTGGTCCTCATTAATGTTCTTCATTGATGAAATGGAGTGATGAGAGCTACCCCTTCCCCTAGGATTACGAACAATGGACTTTAGATTCAAATTAAGTGGGGCAAGAGTTGGATTTAACGACCAATGACCATGTATGCACTATCACAACATACAACAAGTCAACAACAAGTATATAGCAAGCAATTCTCCTCCACAACAAATCAATCAACAAACCTCCACATACATTGATCCCATACTCCCATGCTTACAACAATATGCAACAAAAATAAAATTGCCTCCATTCGGGCTCACGATTTATCCAAGAAAATAAAAACTTGCCTCCACGCGGGCCGACGATTTAATTAGAGAAAGAGTTTAGAAAAGCTCACAAAGGGTCCTTAAGCAACTTCAATTTATTTTTCAATTTCTTTCTTTGCCCTACTTTACTTCGCAATTTTTTTATTTTTAACTTTTTATGCTTTTGCTTAGCTTTGCTTGGTTTGCTTATTTTGAATTTCCCTTTGCTTCACTTTCTTGCCTCAATTCACCTAGCCAATCAAGAACAAACACAATAAGTAACCAAAATAAAATAAAAATAAAGACAAGATCAAAAGACTACTAATTCCTAATTAATTTCCAAAATACGACGTTGCCAAAATCCCCGGCAACGGCGCTAAAACTTGGTGTTTCAAGCACTAGTTACAAAATGATGATGTGTGTAGTGTGGCCAACTTTAAATTTGTAGATTCCCACTACCATTATTAACTATTAAAGTAGCTAGAGTGAGTTGGGATCGTCCCAAGGGAAAATGGAGTGTATTTAAGCTTAGAAATCAATTTGGATTAGTAAGTCGAATGATCAAAAGGTGGTTTGATTGATTAATTAAACTAAGCTTCAATTAAATAATGTAAGAAAATAATAATCTAGAAATGTTGGGAAAGATATAGGAAAGAGGTCTTGGGGTTTAGAGTTCACCACTAAGCTTCACTTTACCAGACTCTTGCAATTATAAATTAATGGAGAAATTTAAGTTGTAAAATATATGTGTACGTCATTAATTGAAAACAAAGCATGATGGATGGCAAATAAGCATAGATTGTCTATCCAATTTAATGAATAGCATAACCTATCAAATGAGACCAATAACCATTCAATTAAACCATAATTAGTGCACACATATTTATCTAGAGAAATGTACTTCTTGCATTTATAAGTATGTAACATCAAACAATAAGAATGGATTGGCTACCTACTTAAGAAATTAAAGCAATTACACTACAACTAAGTTAGAGACATGAGAATTAAACTAAATAAACTAGAGATGTGGCACAATTCATCAAGAAATATGTATGAACCATCAAATAAACCACAAAAGTGTTCAATTAAGCACCATGCCTTGACCATCACTAGATTAACATCATCAACACACATAGACATGCATCAATTTCATTAAATCTAGATATAAAAACATGAACATTAATTCTAGCATACATAGACAGATGAATAGAACTAAATGATCCATTGAAAGCATTAATCCATACAAATTAAATAAAAATTACAAGATCTATATTTATTCATGGTCAAAACATCCATTATAACTAAAATCCCTAAAAATACACAAAAGCTAGGTTTAGGGAGCAAGCCTAGGGGCTATCTCTAGCCCCAAGAGAAGGATTTAGCCACTCATTATAGTGGTCATGGAACCCTCAAGGGCTAGCTTGGAGGTTGGTATCATCATCTTCATCCTTACTTTCTTCCCAAAACCCTAGTTCTAGAGAGAGGAATATTTTTTTTTTTCTATATTTGGTAATATCTCTACGATGATATGATACAATATGGTTCAATGAATCAATTACATACTCCTTTGAAAAAGAACCAAGTCAGAAATATAGCCTATAATTAGAGGAAATTCGCAGCTACACATGTTAGGTAGAAATCGGCGCGCTCGGGAATTAGACAGCTCACTGCCAGCAATGTTTTCGATAGATCAAAGATTCTCGATTGATCCAACACTTAGCTTCGATTGATCGAAGCTGACGTGGCATCAAAAATATCTTCAGGCCTTATCCAATTGGCTGAGTTGGCACCGCCTTCATCTCGATCGATTGTGGACCTCTTCGATTGATTGGGATTCCCTTAGATCGATTGAAGCTCCTCTAGAGCAATTTTCTTGGCATATTTTGAACTTTGCTCCTTAGCTACAAAATTGATCTAAATGGCTCTTGTTAGCCTATTTAAACTTTATTGACTTGAAATAGGTAAAAACATAAATAAGTATCTAAGACATGAAAGTAAGATAGATGAATTAACTAAAATACCTTAGCCTAGGTGTTAAAATGCGTCACATTTGAGCACTTATCACACCCCCAAACTTAGATATTATTAGTCCCTAGCAATGAACTACAAGGAAAATAAAGAAATAAACAACTATATAATTATGAACTAGAAAGTAATAAAAAGATAACGCCACTTTCGTATGGAACACGATTACATTTAGCTTATGCAACAAGCCTTTTAAATCCCTAGGTTACCCCTAGTAGACGAATAAAGTCTCGTGAGGATTTCCAGAAATGATACCCACAAACATTGAGCTCTTTCTCACAAGAGAAAATCCAATATACAAAACATGTATTGGGAGAAAACTAACTCAAATATGCAATTTTTCAACCATTTCCAAGCAATCTCCCAAAATTTCAACATCAAGCAACCAAGTATGGTCCTCCACACATCAAGACAATGATCATGCAAATCAAAACAACTCTAGAATTCTTTTTAAGTGAACCGACATCAAATATGTTGCTATCTAAGCCAACTAGAGAAATAATCACATCCTTACCCTCAAACTAGCATACAAATCTAGTACCAATCATCAAGACAAAGAGTAAATCTTTTATTAAACCTTTATTGATTTATGTGCACTTATTCTTTTCACTCGAATTTTTTTTTTTTTTTTTCTCTCACTATCCCTAAGTATCAAAGATGGAAGCATAGTGCAATGTGTTGATCTATTAAGCTTTCTAGCGATCCATGAGGTCGAGCTTTAGGTCAATGACTCCCAAACCGGACGACTTTAGGGCATTAGGTGTTTAAACACCCCTAACGACTTACAAGCTCAAATCAACTATGTTACAAATCAAAACAACCTCCATCTAATCATTTCCCACTTCTCACCTTTTTGGGAGAAGTCTTCACTTTTTTATTTTTTTATTTTTTTTTTATTTTTTATTTTTTATTTTTTTAAGTTATAAACCTAGAGTTTGGACCATCTACCTTTTGGCGCGAGAAATTCAGTGCTTGATGAGGCTAGAATCCCGGTTAATTAATGAAAAAGGTTTGTTATCCACTTTTATCAGAATGAAAACTTTCAATGCACTACTAGTTTAATTGGAATATAACCAAATCAATAGTCAATAAAGCATGTACCCCACAAATGAATGCTAGTGTGTGCTTATGCTAGTGTAAAATCCTAGAATGAATCTCAAAATAATTACAAGATCAAGATGATGCGAACCACAAATGCAAGTGAGATATCAATCTTTCGAAATGTACTTCTAAACGGCATCTACAAGGCATACAAGGAGTATTGAACTCTCAAGTCAAGCAATTTTTAAATTCTAAGTATCATGGTCCTCAAAAGATCAAAATCATAGCCCAAAACTCTTAAATCAAATCATATCACATGCATAGAAAGTAAGTGCAACATGTAAAATATGCTAACACACCCCCAAACTTAATCTGTGCATTGTCTTCAATGTGCAAATAAGCAACAGATAATGAAAATAATATACCAAATTGGTGAAGCAAAAGGGACCCCGGCAATGGAAGCCTAGTATTGGAAGGCGCACCCCCAAACGTAAATTCTGAAAACCTTTCTGAAAATGGTCATACTAACAACTATCAAAGCACATGCATCAATGATATAAATAGGAGGTGAAATGGAGAACTGAGCAAAAATCATGGCATATAGCAATATAAAGTGCAGAATATCCAAGAGTAATAACAAAATTACAAAAATCCATATATAACAAATAAAATCCAAAACCATATATCAAAGATCAATGTATAATCAAATGCAGTGCAAGAAATAATATCCAAAACATCCAAAATATCCAAAAAAATATCCAAAACCAGTGCAAATGTCAATATGGTGCAAAAATATCGCAGGCATAGCAGGGCATATATCAATGATAATAAATGAGTAGGAGAGAAAGAATGGTAAAATAAGGTGGTGGATATGGAGTCATCATGTCAGCAATGTGCTGCAGCATGTCGGACATCTGGGTACTGTGGCGAGTGAGAGAAGTGGTAAGGTCTGTCTTCAAAGCTCCATGCTCACGTCTCACCTCAGCTACCTCAGATCGCAACTAATCAAATCGGCTGACTAAATCATCATATCTCCCTACCAAATCGTTATGTCGTCTCACCAGGTCATCATACCGCCTCATGACATCCTCGTGTCGTCCGGTCATATCA